GGGTAAGTAGTAATACCTGAAGCATTTCGAGCCATTTCATATACTGGAGAAGCTTCCACGACTGGCATCATCTGCTGAATGAGAGGACCAAGCTGCAAACAAACATAAGCAATATAAGATACAAGCAACCATTTTTCTTTGTTTGGCGTGTCCATTTGCAAACTACAAGATCAGATCGGCTTTCATATTATTGAAAATTCATTTCAACTCAGGAAGCATATGATAGCAACAGAAGATCAAACATCAATCAATGCTGTGAAGACAATATTACTAGTCCCAAGATACGGCAAACAAGAAAGTTGAGCTATATAAATGATTGCTAGCATAGTGTAGTCTAAGCTTCGGATAAATAAGGAGGGTCATATAATGATGTTTTAAAAATCATAATTCATACCAAATGATAATTTTACCTGCTCGAAATATGGAACTGCTTCTGTGGCCGATTTATTGTTGAATGAGATGATGGCGTTAACCTTTCACAAGAGAGATTATTTTTTTTTGTCACTCTCAGGCAGGTTGGTGGGATTAATTTTAAGACAGAAAAAGGTTATATATCACTCTAGCATTCTAGTCCAGATAATAATACAAACAAAAAGGGCTTCTTAGTGAACTAATCTTGCTGGTATGACTAATATTTAAATTCTAGATCACAAAATAGTGAAGAAACCAAACCTTTGGTATTTTCTCAGCAAAGTAACTTCCTGTCAAAACTTGGAGCAGTGCCCCATTGCTATATGCGTGTTGAAAACATGACAGTAATCAGCATTAGAGATGTCATATCCCGTGAGGGGCTTTGATATAAGAATCTTACATCCACAATATATAACTGAAGCATTATAATTCAGTAGATAAGAAGAAATAGTACTCAAGTAATTGCATTCAAAAACCAGATCAAGAGACTATCAAAGTGAATCACATAAATCCAACCAAGAAGTATCCTCAGCTTGGGAATGAGAACACGATATGGCAATTAGGTAGCTTGCCGAGGTTATGAAGAACCAAGAACAACGTATAAAAACTGAAACTTATTTCTTCACAAGTAAGTCCTTTTAATCCGGTTAAGATGCAGTGAGCAGCACATTTTATTAAGGAGAGGAGCAAATATTTCTGACCTGTGACCAACTGAGAAGACAGGAAGGTGTGTTAAATCTTGAGGCTTCAAATTTGCATTTGGAATTCCAAATGAGACAATGATGTCCAAGCAGGAATTGAACCTCGTATAAACCTGCTTAGCAGCTTGTTCATGATCAAATGTAACGTTGTACGGCACAGATACTATCAAATACCCTTCCTTTGCCAGTAGCTCCTTGAGGTAACTACAGATCACACGGACACAAAGAACGTCTTTTAATCTGTCAGAGTCAACCATCTCGACGATTACAGGACCATCGAGTAATTTTCCGGAGTATAAAACTAATGTATATACTTGAAAGGACAAAACATTTATCCCAGCTCCTGAAGCTCCATTTAAAATCAAAGTTTGGCTCTGGTCATCAAATATTTTCTGGAGTATATCAAAATCCATCTCTTCTTGTGCATGACCAGTCTATAGACATCACACCCGCCACAAGAAAGAAGAGAGGATTCTTTGAGTTATGACCAAATTGCATGCACTCAAAGTCAACCATAGGCAACCATTTAGGCTTCAATGGTACAGTGTTGGATGCAATTAGATACAAAACCAGAGTCAAGTGATGAAACTAAATCAAATTAAGCCACTAATTCGTACAGGACTGTCAAAAATTTAGTAAATAACAAAGAGTTGCTTTCCATAAACTCTGACTCATCGATGAATTATATACTGAGCCAATACCTACAATCAAAAAAAGCTTTCCTGATTTTTAGAATCCTTGAACTGTTCCAATTTGCATAAACATATAAACACCCAGAATCATCAATAACGGCCGATCAAATCGAAGCAACAGATAAGGTTGATGATAGAAAGTGTACCTGTAGGTGAGTTCAGGTACAGCTCCGACGAAGGCGCCTCCCAAGAACTTGACAATGGCACGTGGTTTCTTAAATCTGGGAGGAGGAGTAATGACCAGACAAGAGTCGAGCCTCGTGTATATCTTATCGTTTCTACGAGTGTACGTGGCGCTCGCGGAGACGGTGAGAGAGACGGCTCGAGCTCGTCTGCAAAAGAAAGTGGCGGGAATCAATTGGGAACTACCCAGAAAAGTCGAAGTCGCTAAGGCAAACTCCATTCTGCGACTTGGTTCCTTTAACTCTTCCTCACTTGTGTGGAGAAAAAGCACCAAACGTCGGATTTTATTTCTCCCTTGCGTTCAAGTAAAAAGCCGACACGTAGAACTTTACTCCAAACGTCAGAGTATATCTGTTCTTTGGTGCGTTTTATTTGTTTTTATTTTTTCCTTTCTTTGTCAACTATTTCCCTCTATATTCTTTCAATTTTGCGGTAAATTTGGTGAAGCTTTTTTTATAAGAGTTAATTTAAAGAATAATCTTTGACTATTTAATTTAATCTAAGTATTTAGTTATGAGTTTTTTTACTCTCTCTCTTCTCTCACATTTATCCTTTGGAGAGTTCTTCTCTCAACTTTTGGAATAAAAATTCCTATCAAAATGGAACATAATAATTTAAAGAATAATCTTTGTTGACTATTTAATCTAAATATTTAGCTATAAGTTTTTTTACTCTCTCTCTTCTCTCACATTTATCTTTCGGAGAGTTCTTCTCTTATCTTTTGGAATAAAAATTCCGATCAAAATGGAACATAATAATTCCATTTATCGGATTTGGTTTTTCAGTAAAATCTGGATTTAGCTTCTTTCATTTTTTGGAGAATAAATACCAATTTGTCAAATCTATTCTAATTTAATCCGAATATTTCACCTTTTCAGTTCTCTTTCAGGCCATATCTCTTTCTTGTTAGATTAGTTGGTTTCTTTTAATCTTTATTTCAGGTTATCTATCTTGTTTGGAGTAATTTTTTAATTTCTTCGTTGTTTTCCTCACACTCGGAACAAAGTTGGATAAAGTTCAGACAATATATTAGGTCTGAACAGCGGCAGAGCTTCCTCAAAGATAGCAATCTGAATGAAGCTTAAAAGTGCTTATCAATTCTGTTCAAGCTTGTTCTCCTTCCAACGTCTCTGTTCTGTCCCATATATCAACGTGTGTAAGTACACGTGTTGTTGTATGTGTATTCTAAGCCTTTTGCTTTTGGGTTCGATTATGTATCATGTATGTTTTTGGTCTTTTCGACTTAATGAAATAATAGCCGAGAAAAAATAATAATTATGTATCTAGTTATAACAAAAACAATAGTAAACGCTTCCGCATAGCAAGGATCACCTACTAGTAGATAAAATAAAATTAGATTTAAGAAAGAGAAAAAAAAATCCTTCACATTTTAAATAATTACACAAAAATACCAATTAACTAGAAAACATTTGTTCCAAAGACATAACCGTAGACACTCTTCAACAACTGTCCACCAACACTGTTCTTTGATTCTTAGTGTTTAGTTTCTCAATCCTTAAATGTCACAGAGAAACATTAATTCTAGTTAGAATCCAAATGTTACACCATTTAAAACATGTGAGATACCAATTGTCAAAGCTTCTTTGCATCTTAGAAAACCTTCATAAACATATGTAAACTTTTTCTAAACCTTTCAATTTCTAATAAATGAGGGTTACACCTTTCAATTTCTAATAAATGTATATTGTTTGTTTTAACATGTGAAAAGCAATAAGAGAGTCGTTCTTTTTAAGGATCACACTACCTAAGGTGCATTTTGACATAGAAAATGATCCAAATGCAAGGAGGATTGTAAACCAGTTTACAAGATATACGAGAACATCATCACAGTTAGAGACATTCTCGGGGATGTAGAGTTCCAGAATAATGAACTCGTTTCTTGGATAATGAAGGTCAGCTTAAGAGGTTTGTGGATGACAGGAAGATGATCCATTGTTTGCTGACTAAATCCTTAACAACAGTTAGGGAGAATGAGTTGTGGTTCCATCCACTTTAGAGCACAACCTATGAGATTTTCAATGAGGGAATGAGATTTACAGACGTAAAATGCAGTGAGTGGGACAATAAGATGACAAAGAATTACAAGAATATGAATGGGGTGAAATAGAATACATGCATACAGCAGATGAGATCATTCAGGAGCTGTGTCAAACTGAAAAGGATGAAGTATACGAGAGGTTTACTCTCGCGATGTTGATATTGATTGAGAGTCTTCTACTTTGGAGGTACAAGGCGCACAGGTTTCCGAAATCAATACTCAAGAAAGCACGTGATATGAATCTCATAATGAATTATATGGGAAAGAAATGCCAACAATTTACTACTTAAGTCGATCAAGAAGAATGTTCCCTTACATATGAGAAAACCCAAGTACAATCAGCACAGGTTTCCATTTGTTTTCAATCTGTGGATTTAAGAATTTGAGGCTGTATTGAAAAACCTTTCAGTAGGTTAAGTACTTGGAGCCATCAACCACTTTTTTTTCCCAGAGATACTTTTCATACAATGTCTCCAAGAATTGTTCAAGTTGAAACATAAAAACATTGCATGATGTTTAATAGCTTTGGTTGACAGAATAAATAATATCTATAAAAAAATGAAAAAATCTATCAATAATTTTTGATTAAAAAATACAAAAACATCGATTTTGGTTTTTGTTTAAAAATGGATAGATATTTTCAAAATCTAGTTTCTCTAAAAATTATGATTTCAGTTTGACCAAAATCTTGATTGGATAAAATTTAGATTTTTGAAAAAAAAAAAAAAAAGACCAAAAACTATTTCAAAAACCACAACATTCAAGGCCTAAAAACCAAAAAGCCGAAAAACAGCCTCAAAAATTTCAGAAGCAAATAGAGCTCTTTCATTTTGGATTTGTATTCTGTGCGCCTAATTGGTAAGTCTATCTATTGTGGAGATAGATAAACCTATGATGCAAAAAATTTGGTTGAATGCAAAGTAGTTTTTGAGAAGGAAAAAAAAAACACAAACATTTCTGGCCTACGTAGTTTTCTTTTCATAAGGTTCATACAAAACAAGTAGTAAGCTGCTTTACAACGGAAACAAGAAAGAAAAAGACAGGGAAATTCCAATCCAAGCCTTAGAAAAAAGTTTAAAAACTTTGTAACACACTACAAAGCTAACTGTTATTGCTTAGTGAAGGCTACGCATGATGCCATGAATGTACCCTCCGGTCACAATAAAAGACATCAAAGACACAAATCCGGCAGGAAATATCTTTTTTTCGAACCCATGTACCGCGTCCCCATCACCCAAGTTAATGCACCGCCATCACTTTTAACAACACACCAATATTAAAAACACAAAGAATTCATGTGTTAAGGTTTTATACTTCTATCTATTATCGGTTCAACAATCAAACAACAGAAACTAGCAAATAGTTCGGCTATGATTTGAGGAATATAGTTTCATAGAAAGAACTACTCTGCTATTGATATATTTCTCCCCTTACCTACGACAATGGTTGATGCAAGAACAGGTTTTGTTGGGAGCTCGCGGAACACATATAGCAGAACAGCAGCTGAAAGTCCACCCGCAAGCAGTGATTTCTGGCTACCGCTTTTCAGATAACCCATCAGCCCACCAACTGCATCAAAACAAATTAACAGCCAATGATGACCTTTGAGATATTTGAAACATATCAAACTTTGGGAGTTTGTCACAAGACTATTGACAAAAATCGAGCATCACTTTATAGGAAAGCAAAACACATTTTTATTGAATACGTTTCAAGTAGAGTTCTGAGTACAGACTTTGGGAGCTTGTCAGAAGACTATTGACAAAAATCAAGCATCTCTTTATAGGGAAACATGACAATTCAAGTGTGTAGATATGAGTCCAAGAAAATGACAATTTAACTCCACATTTTGATTCATGTGATAAGCATACAAAGATATACGACTGGACTATTATGGATTGCGAAACTCATTGCAGCGATTAGGAACATCTGATTCACGTTAGTTACAGCATCTCATAAAACATCAACAAGGAGAGGAACCCAATTGAAATGCGAAGCTAAAGCTATGACAAGTCATATATACACAAAGAAATCAAGAAACCTCAATGGCATCAACTTGTGCTGAATCCAAGTACCATCAAAATCCCTCTCTATTCAATAACAAATGGAGAATTCCCCTGATCATGTGTGTGGTTTAATAAATCTTTGTTTGAAAAAATATTCACAAAACGGATTGTCCTACAAAGAAAAGTTGAAGAAATTATCATTGATCATATTCTCAGCACCAAATAAACAGTGAAGATATTTGTTATCCATAACGCATCACGGTAGATCTACAAATCTCGATTTGAAAATGAAATGTCAATGAAGAAGCAGATAAACCCCTAAACTCTAAAAGTTGAAGAAATGATAAAAATGAATCTGACCTCCGACAAGAAGTGCGTAACCAAGAGTCAACTTATGCGACATAGACAAAGGTGTATTCTTCTTCCCATCACTCTCCTCCTTGCCACCTTCTCTTCCGTCATTTCCATCCACCGCCGCCGCCAAATTTATCACCTCCGATTTCACCACCGTCACCACCACCGATCGCAGGCTCAACTTCAACAGCTTTGACTCCCAAATCGACGCAGTTAGCAGATATAGTGGCGATCGTCTTGGTGGAATCCACACCGAGAGGAAGTCGTCGGGGAGCAGATGCGAACGCTAGAGGATGAAAACTGTTGGAATTAAGGAAGGCGATACTTCGGATCGGTGAAGGAGAAGGGGTTTTGAGTGAGAAGAGCCTAGGTCTGACGTGAAGGAGAGATGACTGTGCCGAGGAGCTCAACAGCAAACCCGTCATTTTTCTTCTTCTTCTTCTTCGCCGCTTCGTTTAACAATTAATATTTTAGTGATTTCATTGATACTGATAAGCTCGCTTTGACACCAGCGCTAATGAAGAAGAAAGCAAGAGGACAAAGAGATGGCCAGCTAGAGGAAGAATAAAGACATGTTGGCAAAGACTCTTTTCCGCTTAGAGGCTCTCTCTCATAAACAATCTATACATCAATTGATCTGACCTAAATCTCTATATTATTATTGAAGAATGTCATTTTAATAAATAGATTTTATTTTGTAAAATATTGTATGAAATGTCATTACACATAAGAAAAAATATGAAATAAGAAAGAATATAAATATTTTTTTGAATTTAGTGTTAAATTATTTTTTTTTAAAATCGTTTGTAACATAATATCGTCTATAATTTAAAAATTTGAAACAAATTTGAAAAACAAAACTATATTTAGCTCCTAGTTGCAAACCACACTTGAAGACCCATCTCATAACGTTTATCTTATGCACCTCGAATGGCTAAAAGTTGATTCTGTATTTGTTTATCAATGACAACAACAAGTCATGCTGCAGAAGTCGGACTCTCACCGTGTTATCTCGCATTTCTCTCCTTCTAAATACTGTGGACTGACGCTTGAAAAACATATCTTGACAAAAAATGCTGAATTCGGTCAAGGTTGTTTTGTGAAAGAAAGTTGAAGTCCATCAGTCAGTGGAAATGTTTGTTAGCAGAAGATTTTGTGCTAGGTGTTGATGTGTTTACTGCGTGAAGGAACAAGTTTTACCCTTAATAAAAACAAATGAAAGCCGCAAGTGTACATCTAATCAATTGTAGTACTTAGGGATCGAATCTACAGAGATTTGTGTGCCTAGTATTCTTCTACAGTTTCTAACTTTATGTCTAGACTAGATTGGTTTTAGAGGTTGGTTGTTTGTCACGGATTAAACTAAAACTAAAGAAAGCAAATAAATATATCCTAAAGAGCAAGTAGAAAATCGAATAAAAGGCAAATGAAACGAGTAGAATATCGAACTAAAGCAAATAAAAAGCAGATCTGAATGAGCAAGTAAAAATCGATTGATTTGTAAACTATGGCTATAAACGTTGAGTTTTTGGGAACTCTACAGGGATCATAATCGGTTTCAACACTAGGGATTATAGATTGGAATTGACGGATATCAAAATATAGGGTTTTAGAGCTAGAGTACGGCGGTATGACTACATCATTGTCGTGATAATAACTAACTGTTTCTCGCAACCCTGACCAGTAGGTTTCCACTCTGGCCCTGGAAGGGAGAGAACGCAAGAGCTACACAGGACTCGTCAGTACTCACGATTTCGCTGCAGGTAGGTTTCTACTCCTACAGAAAAATCGCCTGTTTCATTATAGGTCGGATACTTATGCAACACTAACTATCTAGATCAGATACAAAGTGATCAATCAAGCATACATGCAATAAGGACGAGAATAAACAGAGAATAATGTTGAAATTCCAGATCTATAAACCTAGATGTCTTAATCGATTATGAGAGCTCCTTTTGGGAACCCTAAGCCCAACTCGGGATCTACTCAGACATGGCTGAGGTCGACATCATCATTGGTTTTAATAAAAGCAAACAAAAACAGTAAAGCAAAGAGATGAAATAAAGCTTCTCTATTGATGAACTTAGAGTTGAACAATCTTCTCTAAAAATCTCATAAAACGGCTGAAGAAAAAGGGTTTTATAAAAGTATGAAGGTGATGTCTAAAAACGACCTAAATGACAAGTATTTATAGTTTTCAATACTCCATGGTCTCTAGGGTTCCGGAATTGAGGCAGAGAAATGACTTTTAGGCTTCAGGAATATGGGCTTTTAATCGGAGTTGGTCGGCCGTGGTCGGGAGTAATGTGGCCGCGAGAAATAGAGGCTTGGCCGTGGTCGTGCAGCTCGTGACCACGGTGGATGGGTCGGCGGCAGCAGTCGCGTGACTTGCTGGCCGTCTTCGAGTGTTTCCGGGGCAAATGGAATATCTTGAGATCCAACCGTTGTAATGTCTCCAAACCAAGTGCATTTGAAAGCTGGTTGATTTTTCTATAAGTTTCCCAATTTTGAGGGTGATCAGACGGTGAAAAGGTTTTCGTCTCTCCATGAGAGTTCTGATGGTCTGCATTTATCCAAAAGAGTCTTTTTGTTCTAATTTGTGCCTCTTTATCCCAATTACCTGAAAAGTCTTTTAAAATCCGAAAACATATAAATCCTTTGAAAACCTTTGAAAATGGAGTAGAAACACCTGTAAAAGACATTAAAGTGATCCATAAAAATGGTCAAAATCCCGGTGTTATCAACTCCCCCAGACTTAGTCTTTTGTTTGTCCTCAAACAAAACAAAGGCCAAATCTCGGTGAGAGGTTTGAAAACGTAGGAACTAAACAAAATTTCAGAGACCCAACTTCTAGACCAACATCAATCATTATGCATCAATCGGGAATAACCTAGAAAATTCTCACTAGAAATATGGGCATAACTAGTTCGTTAATCCATCATGCGAAAGTCTATTGCACTAACATCTAACTTCTAGTCAACTAGCTCTTAACATTCTGGTGGTTCTCATCAAAAAAAGTATATGCGAGGCAATCTAGGCTAGGTATCAGTAGGGTTATTCTAGGGGTAAGGCTTAAAGTGTTTATGGGTTACCTGAAGATCTGGAGGATGTAAGATATTATGAAAAACCGCAAGAGAGAGTGAAACTGTTGATGTCCACAGTTTTCAGTCACTTTCTTCTTGCTATAGATTTCTAGTGTTCTTCCTCAGGTTCTCTCCTAACTCCCCCAGACTTAGATTTTTGTAAATCTTTCTAAACCATAGCTCCTTAGATGACTAGTAGTTGCTTTTTGCTCAAAATTTTTGACAATCTAAGACTCATTAGGCTTTTTGTTTCCTTTCCTTTCATTTTTTTTTTTAAAGGGGAAACACCTTTAGATATAGAGTCATATAGAGTGCACAATTACCAATAAGAATGAGTTTTCCGAGACAATATAAGGCTTGATAAGATTTCTGATACTCTTCCTTCCCGATTCCATTCATACTTTCTCTTGAGTGACTGAAAACTGCGTCGTTCCTTTTCTCTCCGGCGTTTTTGCACATATCTGCTGATATAAACTAAAGAGAGAATGCATGAGCATTAAAAACAAGGGTTTTGGGTTTAGGGTATGGTACCAGATAAAGATGAACTGGTCATCTAGGACGACAAAGGGTGGTAAAAATGAGGGTAAAAAACGTCCTAGATGTATATCTCGATGCCTGCCTAAAATCAATGATGAGAAAATTAGATATCAATATTAAGGTCAAATAAAATGACCTAGTATATCCTATCAGAAAGAATCTCCATGAATAAAAGTCCTCTGGTGGGAGTTTGTAGTGCAAGTACTCTAGCTACCGCTTAGTCTAGTGCTAACCACAAATGAGCTATCATGCGTAGTGTAGAAGCGTGCAGGTCTAAATCATCACAGTTTTGTGTCAAACATTCCTGAAAAATACTTAAGGTCGAATAGGTTACATATTAAATTTTAAAAAGTACTTGAAATTTTAAAAACAAAGCAAGAAAATGATTAGTAAGGATATACATCCTCTCCCAGACTTAAATCACACTGTCTCCAATGTGAACAAGTTGGTGAGAAGATGATGAATAAAAGCAAAAATAAAATAAGATAAAAGAAAAGAAAATGGTGATAGAACCGTGATGGCTGTCAAATGACAATGAAGTGCTGATCAATCACTCTTCCTCCGATGTGTCTGCTTCGAAATGGTGCTGCTCCTGTAGGAAGGTGACGACGCGCTCAAAGCATTGTCCTTGTCTCTCAACTCTGCACTCCATATCAGAATGTGAGTGTGATGATGTCGATGATGAAGTATGGCCAGTGGAAACAGATGGCTGAAAGTGAGCACGTGCTGCAGCTGCGTCGCGCTTCGCCTTGGCCACTATGTATTGCCCGATAGTGAATGGTAGACGAGGTACAGTGATATGTTCATAATTTGCATCATTTAGGTTGCATAATTAATTCCAAATCATGTTTTATTCCATGCATTTTAGGTCCTTAGGGTTTGTTTTAGAACTTATGAGATGCATTAGGTCCCAATGAGTCTTTGCATGTTTTGAGTGTTTATCAGGTGTATTTGGAGCTGAAAAGATGAATCCAGGAGGTGGAATGGTGATCAAGGCTTGAAAAATAGTGAACTTGTGTTTTTGGAGGTTATCGGCCATTCTCGCGTACCAGGAAGGTTTTTATCGGCCATTTTCATGTACCGCGGGTAGACTCTATCGGCCAAAACATGTACTGCGAGTGAATTGTATCGGCCAAAATCTCCGGGTGCAAACACGTTTCCGAAATCGCCTGTCCGGGGAACCTTCCGATCCGATTCAGCTGTCGGGTGCTTCATCAAATTTGGAGAGGATTGGATCACGGTTCCATAGCAAGTAGAACCATGGAATTCGGACGCGTGAGCAGAGAGTTCAGCTCGTCGGAAGAAACCCCTGTCTCGCTGCTGTTTTGGACCAAGCCGATGAGCTCTGAAGAATGCAAATTACGGTGTACTTCCAGGCTGATTCAGTTTCCGGGACCTTCATGAGAATCAGAGAAATTTGAGTCTTCTTTCCAGAACGTCCGAGATCATTCAATTCGGAGCTATGAGCAGGAAGATACGGTCTCCGGAATGAACACATGTCTAGACGCCTCTCTCTGTTCGTGTAAATTCACTGCAAAGATGCGCCCTCCAGGAAGCCTTCGACTTCCCAAGCACCGAAACTTCTTTCACCAAAGTTGGAGATAAATGAGTCATCTGTCTTCTGCAACCGTAATCACTCAATTCGGACAAGTATCGTAGAAGTTACACTCTCCGGAATGCGAAGTGATCCAAGCTGCTCTGAATGCTGCGAGATGGTCTTGCGACTTGGTTAACCCGCAGGCCTGAAGATGAATGCCTGAAAGCTGATGCTGCGAGTTGAGAAGTGGGAATAAGCTATCACTGGATGAGGTCTGAGGCTCCCGAGCAAGAGAAATGCTAAGTCCACAATCGTGCGACTTAGGCATGCGAGTTAGCCGCGCCTGGAACTAA